GGCGCCAGCCAGCTGGAGAGAAACCCCATCACTGTGGGCCATGCAGGAGAACCATTGTGGTCCCTCCACAAAGATCAAACTCTCCTTTGGTTCCTGTCCCAGACTCTGCTTCTGCCTCTTCACCTGCCCTGCCTCAGAACTCTGTGGGGCCAGTGAGTCCTCAGACTCCAGCAGGCAACCCAACATCGGCCCAGCACCGAAAACCCCATGGCTGCGAAGAGTGTGGCAAGCGGTTCCGCATCCTAAGCAACTTGGAACGGCATCAGCAGCGCCACGCTGCAGAAAAGCCTCACCAGTGCCGAGACTGCGGCCGGCGGTTCCGTTGGGGCTGCCACCTGGAGCGCCACCGGCGGTCACGCCGTTGTGTGGAATGTGGTGGGGGCCTGGCAACACCTCCCCCTCCCCCCTCCCCACCCCCAGAACCTGACCGGCCCTATTCTTGTGGAGAATGTGGGAGGCGGTTTACACAGCGCTCAGCGCTCAGCAAGCACCGGCGGCTGCATTCTGGGGAGCGCCCCTATGGCTGCGGGGAGTGCGGGAAGCGCTTCCTCCAGCGCTCGGACCTCACCATTCATGTGCGCTCGCACTCTGGGGAGCAGCCTTATGTCTGCACAGAGTGTGGCCGCCGCTTCAGTGTCAGTTCGAACCTCAGTAAACACAGGCGCATGCACCGCGGGGAGCGCCCGCACGCCTGCTCCATCTGTGCCAAGCGCTTCTTGCAGCGGTCGGAGCTCCTCATCCACCAGCGGGCTCACACCGGGGAGCGCCCTTACCCCTGCACAGCTTGTGGGAAGCGCTTTGCTCGCCGAGCTCATCTCAAACGGCACCAGCGCACCCACGGGGGCATCCCTCCTGTAACCCCTGCCTCTCGCCACCAGAGTGCCCGTTTGCTGACCGCGTCTGCTGCAGACACCGTGCCCCTTCTTGAACGGCAGCAACATGAACACGGGGGACTGGTTGATGGCCTGGAGTCACGTCCTCACGGCAGTACACTTACAGCAACAGCACGCCCACCAGCACCTGGGCCTGCTGTTTTTTCGGCTGCCCGAGGTTCTGTGGGCGCTCCGCCCTTGGGGCTGCCCTGGTCTGTGCCCTCATCTGCTCATCTCCCTTTTTGCTCAAGCTCTCTCTGATCACATGGTAGCTTTCCTGCCTCCCTACCCTTCAACAGCCCCTCATAAGCAGTGGGCATCCTAGTTGAACCGGTTTCATGGCTTGGGCCCAGCTCAGAGTAGCTGCAACTGAGAGATTGAACCAGGTTCTGGAAGGGAAAGGAAGTGGCCTACATTTTGGGCCCCAATCCTTATTTGCTAGGACGCTTGGCAGTTTTCTGTTGTGGCTTTTTTTCTAGGCTCCATTAAGGGGAGAGGTGGGAAGCAGATGGGCTGCCAGACCCCTGTATGAAATATCCACTGTGTTCCCAGGTACATTATCAGGCATCAGATGGGGAGGGATTAAGTCAATTGCCTTTGTGGATTTAGGGGGGAAGCACCCCACATTGACTAGAGTTAAGAGTTGCAGGTAGTCTTGATTGCTTGCAAACCACAGTGTGATCACAAGCATGCGTTTCTGAGACAGGCACCCAAGATGGCTTGTTCTCGAGATATTGTCCTTCACATGGTCTCCTATGGTCCTCCCACCTCCCTCACTTTGGTTAGCTTTTTATTAGGCCTCCAACACACTAAGCCCTGTTGTTCTTGCCCAGTAATCTCCCCTTCATTGGACTCTTCTAGTTTACAGGAAGAGGCGTTCAACTAGGTTTCTCCCAAGCACTTAGTATCTGTTTCCAGAGAAGAAAAGCACACCCGCTCATGCATTGGAGCCCTCATGCCATCATGCAAAGACACTGCCTGTCACATAAACGTAGGTGGATGGATGGGTTGTGTGCAGCTTTTGGAATGTAGTGCAGTTCATGCTTCTTTTCTGTCTAAAGAAGATGATCACCAGGCTGAAGAACTAGGAGACTGGGAACTTCCAGAAAGAAGCCAAAGGAAGAAAAGACAGCTGCTAATTCTTCAGAGTGGTCCAAGTGGTACAGTGAACTGTGGCTGGATACGAACTTGGCTGTTGCTTGCAGAATTTGGGATAAGATGGCTAGTGCCTTCTAAGGAGGCTATAGGGCTTCCTTCATCACTTCCTGAGAAAGCTGACTGACCGAAGAGGTGTGTTTAATGGGAACTATGGACTTGAACATTTTAGGGATGGGAAGGTCCCTGTTTTCTACATCTACTGATGCTGCAGCTGGCCCTGAAGTGGCTGTCAAGTAGGGATCAAAAATGCTGTGCCTAGAGCTGTCCCCAACTCCACAGTTGTTTACCAGCCCAGTGTTATTTCTCCAGTTGTTTGTACATTCCTGCTATCTTGGACTGGTGGTTTACTCCCCCCCCCCCGGGTGGGATTTGAGTGATGGTTTCATCAAGCTCTGCGGTTTGGCCTGGGTTCTAGAGTAGGGAGGGGGTCTAATGATACCTGATTTAGGACTAACACAGTAGAACTTTTGTTTTATCAGATCTTTAGCATGGAGTTTCGTTAACCAGCGTAGACAAAAATACATCCAGAACTGTACATACAAAAGAATCAAAATAGAATATTTTGCAATTCCCTTCCCCCAAAGAAAGTATTATTTTAACGTCTCTCAGACCTTAAAATGCAGATTATGTGTCTTTGAGTTTAACCACAGATCTTCAAAACCCTTGCTCTCCTAGTGTCGAGGACATTAATCTTCATATGGAGAAAATGGTCGTATTTCGCATTTAATAATGTAGTGCCCATCACAGATTTTACCCAGCTTTTCTAAGGCTCATCTTCACCCTTTTTCTTGGCTGAAGATGTTTTTAAAACATACCCAGAGAAATGCAACATCACTGGCCAAGAGTGCTGTGGAAAAAAAAACAAATTCAGGCTGTTAAAAGATGAAAACAAGGGGCTTCACTCCTTGGATTCCATTGTCTCTAGCAGGTTCTAAGTTAATTGAATTGAGCAAAAGCAGCTCTGATAAGGCTTAAATCTGTGACTGGCTTCCACAAGTGAGAGAAATGATCTCACAGAGCACTATGACTTTCATGACCTTTTGAGTGGGAGTTGGCAGACATAACAGGAACATGGGTGCTCAAGAGAGTCTGCAGAACACTGGGGGAGACGGTGCCATCCACATATTGCCACCGCTTGGCACGATAGTTTTAGGAAAACCACAAGTATATTTCCAAAGCCCCAGAGGTAGTTGGCTACTTTCATAGTTACATTTTTTAAAATTACACTTTGCTTTCTTGTTATTCCAAAGTGTTTAAAATAGTTTTCTAGTTTGGTTAAAGGAAACGCCTAAGAATGATGCCTACAAAATACACCAAAATAGTGAGTTCACACAATAAGTATACAACAGGGATAGGCAGAGTACAGACCACATGCTTCACAAGGGGACATTTTTTGTCCCATTTCCCTCCTACTTCCCAGAAAAAAAATTAACCTTCCCCTATGTATGTATGGGAGACATGGTGGCACTGTGGGTTAAACCACTGGATCTTAACCTTTGTTACTCTGGTGTTTTTGGACTGCGACTCACAGAAGCCTTCACCATCAGCTGTACTGGCTGGGGTTTCTGGGAGTTGCAGTTCAAAAACACCTGAGTAACAAAGGTTAAGAACCACTGGGTTAAACCACAGAAGCCTCTGTGCTGCAAGGTCAGAGGACCAGCGGTCGTAAGATCGAATCCATGCAACGGAGTGAGCTCAGGTTGCTTTTCCCAGCTCCTGCCAACCTAGCAGTTCGAAAGGATGCAAATGCGAATCGATAAATAGGTACCACCTTGGTGGGAAGGTAACAGCATCCCGGGGCTAGTTGTGCTGGCCACATGATCACGGAAACTGTCTCGGACAAACACTGGCTCTACGGCTTGGGAAAGGGGATGAGCACCGCGCCCTAGAGTTAGACACGACTGGACTAAATGTCAAAGGGAACCTTTACCTATGTGTGTATGAGAGAAGTACATACTTTTAGGTAGGGAGTGTGGATTCTTAGAGGTTGCACGTTGCCAAGTTCACACCCGGGTTTCCTGTTTTTTTGACACTACGTAATCCTGTTGTTCTATAGGTGGTTTTTACTGTAAGACTGTGGGGCCAGAATTGCCTTGATAATAGTGGAATAGCTTGACTGCTATATGGCAGTGTATGACTTGGGCTCCCAAGTTGCAAGCCACCTAATCTACTTCAAGAGATATGTAACCCCCGTGTGCACAGTCTTATTCCTCTATTCGAGCCAGCACTAGTCCTTGCTTTATCACACTCCACATCCTGAATTATTGACAAATTAATCAAATTAATCATTTGAGACAGTCTGAGAAATTTCATTGGTACATATATTCCTACATGTTCAGAGATTCTGCAGCACTGAGATAAACTGGACCAGCGAATGCATTCAACAGAAGACCCAGATCACAGAATAACAAAGTTGGAAGGGGCCTATAAAGCCATTGATTCCAACCTGCTGCTTTTCCTTGAGAAGATTTGGGGTATAAACAGTGAGTTCCAAGTAAAACATGAATCGGGGTATGTCTTGTTCAAAGTAAGATAAACCCAAGTTCTACAAGGAGTTGAATACTTGAATGGTAAGGCTTAATACATGGAGCAAACTGGCATATGATTTCTTTGCTAATCCCATAGAACAGCAATGAAGCTCTGCATTCTAGACACAAACCCAACAGCACCTGCTTCCTGGCTTCTGAGATTTTGCTAAGCAGTCTTCCATATCTGCATTGACAAACTTAATATCTTTTTTTAAAAACCTAGCAAAAAGAGATTCCACAGAATGTTATGCCTACCGCCATTCACTGTGCATGTTTAGTGTGATTATAATTTTTATGGAGTACAACTCCCAGAATCTCCCAGGTGTCTATAGACGTAGCCCAACTACCGGAAAAAATACACAGCACTGGATAGCTTCACTGGCCTAATTTATCTTGCTACTAATACATAATCCTTGAATGATACAAAAGTGCAAATAGGAACTGAGATGGTGTCACTCTTTATTAAAAGATGCCCAAACAAATGCATTCAAGCCCCGCTTCACTTTTGGACTCACAGAACTTTCCATGGGCAGGAATTTGGTGAGCAACAAGCAACCATTAAGTGGATCATGGAGTGCGTTGGTCAACTCAGTGATGCAATGAGCCCATCAATCTTTGTTCAGCTTCTGCTGCTGAAAGGTGAGATAAAGTCTTGCCACTTGCTCAACATCCTGACTGCCACACAGTTAAAAATGTCTTATGGAAGTTCACAAGCAAGGCGTGATAGTGATGCTTTTTCAGCCCCAATATCAAGGGGTCAGTCATCCTAAATATAGACTTTGTGCTTTTGTAAGGTATTAGCAACAACTATCCCATATGAACTCATCAAATCTTTTAAAAAATGGCAAACACAACATTTTGCGGCACAAAGTTCCCAGGATTGATCTTGCTGGTATCAGAAAAAAAATATCACTTCCTTTGGTGTGTGTTGTGTTTTTAACTTTGTGATTCTTATTTACCCACTGTAGACTGGGGTAATTTGATACGGCTAGGAGTTCTGCACTTTTGAGAGCGACTCATCTATCCCTCATTTATTTCCCCACAGCACTTAATGTGAGTTGATAACCCTTTCCTGAAATCTATATGCAAACAGAGCAAATGGTTCCAGATGGCATCATAAAGCAAAATAAGTCACACCTTCTTAATGATGGGATGGAGTGGGCATAGACCTCAGACTTCTCATTGTTTCTAAGCAGCTGGGTCCTGCCAAGGTTTGCCTTTCTGGCCACAGACATAACATTTGCTTCCAGTCTAAAGAGTCTGTTCCCAAAACAGGTCAGCCAAATGGGGACTTTCCTGAATCCACAACTCCAGGGGAACAACAGTCTTATCTTTGCAGCTGGAAAACTCTGTTCCTTCCCTCCCTCTTAACTGTAGCAAAACGTCAGTCCCGCAGTCTAGAGCAGCCTCAGAGACCCGTTGACTGTTTGATGCTGTGGAAGCTGACTCGGGTTGGGGAGGTGGGAATGGACATGGCCCTTGCCACTCGGGCACGGATGGAGTGCTTGTCCTGCCACCGGTGCCATCTCTTCCGTACCGCTGAGCGGACCTGGGAAAACAAATCACGAAATATACAGAAAACACATTTGTTAATTCTTTCTCCTTTCCTTAGTTCTAGAGCCTTTAAGAGCAAAGAACAACAGGAATGCTATGCTAAATCAAGCCAAAGATCAATCCAGGCCATAATGGCATTGCAACAGTGGCCAACTAAGTACCTCTAGGAAAGCTCCCAAGCAAGATGCTCATGGTGAGCATGAGCAGCACCTTCCTGCTCATGCTCACCCTAGCGCTGATACAGAGGAGCTTCCTGTTTGCACTTCTAGGAGTGACAAAGAAGCATCAGGACTAGCAGTTTTTGGAAAATCCTGGATTCTTGAAAGAAGGAGAAAACTTTAATTTGAGTCTGGATAGTCGTTAAGGACCAATATATAAAATCATTGTTTTAAAAAAAGGGAATGTCGTCATGAGCTGAAAGAAAGACCCTCGTAAATCTTTTAGGGGTATTTTTTCAAATGAGCAATTCAGGGGTCAGTAGTTTTTAAACCACAGCTACCTTGAGTGCCCATTTGGGAAAAATGTAAAATACACATATAAAACCCCAAAATATTTTTTAAAAATATGGAATATTTCTCTTTAAAAATTGCTCAAAAGATGGGAGCGAGCCATTCTCCCATTGTTCCATTTGGTAATATTTGGACATGGCATTCTGAGCACATACAAGGCTATGAGAACGAGGCCATTGCCACCAAAGAATCCGCTTGAACAGGCTTTAGGGCACAGCCACATTACCAATGTGTGCTGGTTCCATACCAAGTTTAATCAAAGGATCCTGGGAACTATCGTTTCACAAGCTGCTAAAGTTCTTCTCTTAAAATTGTTACTGCCTCCCGCATGCCTTCTCTTTCACAGACGTACACCCCTTCTCTGTGACTCATACAGTTCCTCATTCAGATGTAGAGAATGCCCACCCCCTTGTTGAATTTGTTCTTTGCTCTTCGCTTCCAAAGCCAGCCCTCTAATCCCAGTTTCCTTCATTCTGGCATCCTGCAGTCGTGGCTTCCATCCTGGACTATCTCTTCCAACATGTCTAGGTATTGGTCCCTTGGTCTGCCAAATCGCCTGTTCTTCAAGAATCACGAAAAGGACACCAATAGCTATAGAAACAATGGGCAGCAATTTTGCAGAGCTGGCAAGCGTCCATGCTAGTGCAAAATGCTTTAGTGTGACAAAACCTTTGCATAGAGCTTCTTAGCGTTAAGATAGTGAGATAGGTTCATAAGGTTAATTCCCACATGAATCATTAATAAAAACCATTACACTGTGATATGAAAAAGGAATTTGAAGTTGCTAAAAAAAAGAAAAAAAAGAAACCACCCCTTTCAAAACTTAGGATAAAACCCCAGAATTATAAAACAAATGATAAAAACACAGAATGCTAATTGTCAATTTTAAATAAACTGTGGATTAAAACACATTAAGAAATTGCATAACACATTTTTCAACAAATTATTTCCAGGTTCTGAGCAGGAATCGCAGACAGGACCTAGGAAGTCTGTCTATCACGTTCCCATTCTCATTTCTCATCCCGACTCACCTCGCTGTTCAGGAAGCAGTAGAAGACAGAAACAAAAAAGCCCTAATTGGAGAAGAAAACAAGGTAAGCAAGTGTTATGGGAAGGGGGGGAGGAAAAAAGTTAAAGAATAGGCACCCTACTGCCTCAGAAGGCGTTCGGTGCTTTCTAAAAACAGAAGTTCTGTTATTTAAGCTTTTGATCTAGAAGACCTGCTTTATCCAGAGCCTGGAAGCAACTAATTATGAATAATGTTACTTGTAACTAATCTCTTTTTCTAATGTATTGAGTTACAGATACATTACTTTATGATTGTAACATAGGATAATGTTAATCCTTTTGCAGTCTAATGACCACTGCTTTTAGTTACATTTATAGTTAAAGAGGTGTGTGGACTTACTACTTAGGCATGTACTGAATCCACGCTACACGCCAGTGGCTTGTAGCCTTCGGATGCTTCCTATCTCTGCTGTAACACAGTAATCCTTTTAGTTACTTTTTAATAACAAGACCTAGTTACTGGCCTGTCAGAAATTATTTTTAAAAGAAAGTTTCTAGGCTCCGAGGTTTCAGGCTATACGAGAGTAGAGTTTGGTTGAACATTAGGAGAAATCGCTTGACTGTAAGATCAGTTTGGCAATCAAACCAGTTGCCCATGGATAAAGTTCCCCAAGGAGAGACTGTTTGTGAGATGAGGATGATGGAGATCATTTTGGTGACTGACTGTACCACCTCAAATAACAAACCTCTAAGCATTTAAAAGCTATCTATAATATAATATAAACTAATGTACAGTGGTGCCTCGCTAGACAGTTACCCCGCATGACGATGATTTCGCTAAACAGCGATTTCAGTGGAACGGATTATCATCATCTAGCGAGGCACCACTGTATATGTATTAAAACCAATATACAGTATAAAGAAATTAGGGCTGAAATCCAGATGCTTAGTGTAGTAAATTGCACAAAGAAGACCTATTGAATCACTGGGGATATACAGTATAAAGAAATTAGGGCTGAAATCCAGATGCTTAGTGTAGTAAATTGCACAAAGAAGACCTATTGAATCACTGGGGATATTGGTAGAGTCAGTTTTTTTGAAAGTTCCATTGATTTAAATGGGCCTACTCTAGTTGTTAGTTACTTTAGCAGAGACTCAAAATATTTCCATTGATTCAATGGACCTACCTTACTGTGACTTTCTATGCCAAGCAATAGGACTTCAGCCAGCATTACACAGCTGAGAAGCCCTAATTAGAGGAAACAATAACATAACTGAAAACACATTAACAGAAGGCAGTTTTGCTAAAGAATTTTAAGGCAATGAAACAAAATATCAATTTGTAAGCTTTGTGCCTTCCACTTTTTCTTTCTAAGATCTTGTAGTCCAATGCAGTCTATAATCCGAAATGCCAAATGGGAAATTGCAAGTACTATTTTAATTAATTAAAATAAATAAGTTTAAAGCAGTGCAAATGATGTCATGTTGGAAGCTTCTACATGGATTATACACAGAAACATACATCACACATAGTTCCCTTTAGTTTTTCCATACCTGGAAGGACTCTAACAGTGAATTGAAGTAGATGAAGACGATCCGGGATACTTCATCTTCTCCAGGATTGACAAAGAAAAGCATGTAGGTAATGCCCAGTAAAGGAAGGAGTACAAGGGTGGCCTTCACAGCTTTTCTGGAAGAAGGACACAGTGGTGACCATCTAGCCCCATCCAGATTGACAGCTCCACGCCCTGTTTATCAAGGACGTCATTTCAATTTACACACCCAGCAGGATGAAGTGGAAGGTGGTGATGAATCCCAAACATGGGTGAGCATCACATTTCTGGATCTTTCCTTACATTCAAAAAAACAAAAACAAAAACAGAATTCCCAACAAACAGAAAACTAGGGCAGCAGAGGAAAAGGTTCCAAACTTTCTTCTCCTGATGTCATAGCTTTCTTCTACTTACGGGGAATTTTGTCCACAGGGCATTAAAAACAGTAAACAAAATCTCCTACCACTGGGTGGTCTGAATTGATGCAGTTTCCTCTACGATCACAGATTCTGTCCCACCACATTCTGCTGCCTGTGATAATCTGATACAAATTGCTGCCAAAACTCAAACCTGGAATCCATTTCCTATGCTAGGATTTGAACGTGGCACATGTGATGCAAAAATTAAAATGGTGCCTATGTCCAAGATGCCTTTCTGTCTGCTCATGAGAACCACAAGCTTCACCACTGTATGTGCAATAACAAACAAACAAATAAACCCCACACTCATCTAAAATTATTTGGGAAGATCTGAACTTTTAAACCCATGAGATTAGATTGAACTTCAGCTCAATTTAGAAATTATGCAGTTATTATTGTCCAACAGCAATAAGGTTTGCATAAACTTTTCAACGGCCTCACCTTAAAGCACATAAGCCCCCGTCAAACTCTCATTTTTAACTTGGACATTTTAACCTTCATCTCAGACAGTTGGCTGATGGTCCCTTCATGGTAAGAATTGGGCACTCTGTGCATCAGGGATGGGAAATCTGGGACATTCTGGCTGTTGTTGGACTTTAACTCCTATCTGTGGTGAGTATGTCATCCAGGGTGAGTCATGGTAAAATATGGGAGATGAAGCCCAGCAACTTCTGGAGGTCCATAGGTTTCCTCACTATATATAATTAGAGGCACTAAAACATCTCTGGGTCCAGCTGTCCAAAATCAGGTGCTGGTTGTTACCTACTGACTAAAAATCAAGGCTGGTGCCTCACAACCCATATTTGGATCGCTCCTTTTTGAAAAAAGAAATGGCAGGGTTTCTATGCCTTTTAAAAATAGAAGGATAGGCAGAGATTCATGGCTGAGCAAATGTTCGGTGGTGGTCGTGGGATCTTTGAGAGCTCTTATGGATAGCAGAATGATTAGAAACTTGCTTATTTTGCACAGTACATTTGGGTGACAGAATTCAGAGTTGTGTTTTAACACAGCCTTCTCAAAAGCATGTCTCCCCTGTCTCCCCTCTTCCCCATATTATGTCCATACCTGTATTGTATAGTCTCTGAGGTGGTCGAGGCCCGAAGCTTTGTCATCAAGATTCTGACAATATTGAATAGAAAGATAAAATTGATCTGGAAGAGATACAGAAACCAGATTAAAGTGGCAGAAAAAGAGGTGCACAAGAAACAACCCTTTCTCTTTGCCATGGAATCTGCAGCATAAGCTCAGCAAAATTTGGAAAAGTTACTTTTTTAGAGTAGCACTTTGAATATTATAGTCCAAAACAAGGAACTTTTCCAAGGTCTGACACCCAGCTCTTTCTACTGTGGAAGCCTTAGAGATGGAACAAAATAGGACAGACATTGGCATTACGTGTGGCACACTGAGCTGTGTATCTCCGTGTGCAGCTGAAAATATTTGCAGTGGTTTGGGGGCAGTTTGCTTCCAAAGACCATGCATGTTATTTTTATTGTTTATTTGAACAGTTAAATCCTACCTTTCCATTAAGGGGGAAAAGGGGTGTGTGTGCAAGACAACATGAACATTAGACGCAAAACACAAAGAAAAAAGCAACCTACAAAAAATTACCATGAATCTAAATAAATGCAGGCCTGTACTACTACTTCATCCTGCCTCCAAAATGGCAGAGCTTCCAACCCACTGGAAATCCTACACAGAGAGGTGGAGTGCCCTGCTGAATGGGGAGAGCCAAGATGTGGAGGGATAATGAATGAGCACAGGCAGATTGAGCTTTCTTGTCCAGAGAAAAAAGTACAATCCGTCAAAATTGACTTTTCTGAAAACAAACAACACTGCACCTCAGACTTAGCGTTCTCTCAAAAATTCCTGCAGAAGTAATGTTTTCAGATTACTGTCCCCTCTAAGCCACCAGGGGGAGCTATTCTCCCCCCCAAAAAATCTAACTTGCCATCAATGTGGTTTCATCTGTCAGGGAGACATACAGGTTATGTCAAATTTAATATTGCCTCTTTTAATAGCTAATTAGATTATTTAGTGCTATTATGGAATAAAAACAGGAGTTGGGAGTTGGGTAGTGACATCTACATTCTGTAAATTAACTGATACAACGCGGGCTGCAGTCTACGAAAATCAGTCTGGTTAAAACAGTGGTTTGATAACATTGCTAGCCCAGGTGTTCTTGGACTACAACTCCCAGAAGCCTTCACCATCAGCTGTGCTGGCCAGGGGTTTGGGGAGTTACAGTCCAAGAGCATTTGGGTTACTCAAGGTTGGGAACAGATTGGGACCTGGAAAATCTGTTGTCAAGCTCCTGCTCTGCCTAGTTGTATTGTCACAACACAAACAGTGTAATCTGGAGGCCTTAGGTCAGGGGTGGGCAATTAATTTCTACAGGGGGGCCACATGAAAAATCTGAACTGTGTTCAGGGGCCGAACCAACTTTACTTAAAAATAAAATGAAACAGTGATGTTATGATTGTTTTTATTTTGAACTTGTTAATCTCCACAAATACTAAAGAGGTTTTTTGTAGTATGTTAAAGATAAGCAAGTGATCAACTTTAGACAAAAAGCTATACATGGTTTTGATGTTCAAAACTGTCCGTGCGCTGGACAGGAGCGCCTCGTGGGCCTTATGTGGCCCTCGGGCCGCACTCTGCCCAGTTCCGCCTTAGGTTAAGATATCACCACAAGCATTACCTGTTGCACACTGAACTGTGTATCTTGGTGTGCAACTGAAAATATTTACAGTGGTTTGGGGGCACTTTGCTTCCAAATTTTATGCCACTTGCATAGTACGCAAGAAGATTTTGACCACTGGATGATTGTGGGTCAGTAACTCTCCTTCACTCTGACCTACTTTACAGAGTGGTTTTTAGGATAAAATGAGGACGAGGGAAGACATGCATGTTGCCTTGAGCTCATTGCAGGAAAGGTACAGTAAAATATAACAAATAATGAGTGAATAAATAAATCAATATGTTATTTCAAAATCCTTGGTTTTGTCATTTTCTTTACAATACTGAAACTAATCCCCTACCACCATTCTTCCTGACAATTGCTAAAAGTCAAACTAAAACTCAGAAACACAGAATCTTCAAATTCAGGACAATTTAGTCACACTCTGTTATTCTTTACATCATCATTCTGCTATTTCCTCAGACATGGTTGCATGAAGTAAGACAACATCACAGAACTAGAGATGAATAAACAAGAAGACATTTTGCTGCTAACTGATTCGTCAGAATAGCGAAGAATTTTGTTTGGTCCTCATTTCCAAACCAAACAAACCTAACTGGCATGTTGTGAATGAACAGGTGGGCAGAACATAGTTATCCTCTAGATTAGTGGTCCTCAACCTTGGGCCTCCAGATGTTCATGGACTTCAATTCCCAGAAATCCTGGCCAGAAGAGGTGGTGGTGGTGTAGGCGTCTGGGAGTTGTAGTCCAAGAACATCTGGAGGCCCAAGGTTGGGGACCACTGCTCTAGATCAGTGGTTGTTAATTTTGGCATGTTCTTGGACTACAGCTCCCAGAAATCCTGGCCAGTACAGCTAGTGGTGAAGGCATCTGGGAATAGGTGGGCAGAACATAGTTATCCTCTAGATCAGTGGTTGCCAATTTTGGCATGTTCTTGGACTACAGCTCCCTGAAATCCTGGCCAGTACAGCTAGTGGTGAAGGCATCTGGGAATTTTAGTCCAAGAACATCTGGGGACCCAAGGTTAGGAACCACTGCTCTAGATCAGTAGTTGAACAGTGTGGGGTGGGGTGGGGGAGATGGATGGCAGACTGATGTGAGAATGAGAGGAACTGGATTTAGGACCAAACACAGGGAAACTAAGAGCATGGTTAGGTAAAGGTAAAGGTTCCCCTTGACAATTTTTGTCCAGTCGTGTTCGACTCTAGGGGGCGGTGCTCATCCCCGTTTCCAAGCCATAGAGCCAGCGTTTTGTCCAAAGACAATCTTCCGTGGTCACATGGCCAGTGCGACTTAGACATGGAACGCTGTTACCTTCCCACCGAGGTGGTCCCTATTGATCTACTTGCATTTGCATGCTTTCGAACCAATAGGTTGACGGGAGCTGGGCCAAGCGACGGGAGCTCACTCCGTCGTGTGGATTCGATCTTACAACTGCTGGTCTTCTGACCCTGCAGCACAGGCTTCTGCGGTTTAGCCCACAGTGCCACCACGTCCCATAAGAGCATAGTTACATTAGTGAAATACTTTGGAATATGCAGCAGTGTTTCTGAAATTGATTTAAAGTCACATGGCAGACATGTAGCATTTGAATCATTGTATGTGTTTCCTTAGGGCAACTTTTAATCTAGTATTTCTTAAAGTGTTGTACTAATTTTGAAGACTACACTTGCCATTTAAATCATGCTCAAATAAACGCCCCTGTGGGGGCATTTTAAATTACTGCACTTCACTTCTGATCAAAATAAAACGATTCCCTGTCAAAATAATTCACAGTTCTGTATATGTCGTGAGGTCACCTTTAAAAAAATTGATTTAAAACATGCCAAACCCTATTGAAATATCATTTTCCTTTCTTGTGTAACTGCATTCTAATATGGCTCATGAATGGACTGGTTTGTTTCTCCTTCATTACAGATCGTGTCCTGAGAGTGTTTTTAAAAAAGGGGATGAACACATGTGGTTGGATACATCCTTGTGACAGGGGTGCTGCAGAAGCTCTGTTATGTTTTGGACTGTCCCTGTCGTGTGAAGATGTATTACTTTCTCCTTTTTTCAAGTCAAACTGCTTCACTAGCTAGCTTGCCTATGAACTCAGGATAACATCTGTTTATAGCAAAGTTTGTTAAAGCTAAAGTGATTGATTGTTTACTTGATAAATTAAATCAATGACATTTCATTTTAGCTGCAGCATTTCATATTTCTTTTAACCTCTTATTATGGCCTGTAGCTATGGGTAAAGACAAATTAACATTTTATAGGTTTGCAGTGGTGTCTTGCCAGCATGATCTCTGTCCCCCAAACAATTTTTTTTTCTTCTCACCTGATTTGACAAGATATCTAAGGGTAAAATATGATTCTGCAGGTTTTTAGATCAAACTGGGAATAAAGTAGTTACAGTGGATATGGACCGGTCACTGCGTACAAGATTACTAACATATAAATTGCTCCCAAATCCCTGCAGCAATTTTGTAACAGGTTCTAGACTATTACTGGATTTTATTTTATTTGTATTGGATCACTGAAAGATCAAAGCAGCAATCTTACAGTTTAAGCATTTTAAATTGAACTGCTTGCCAAAAGTACAAAGAGACTGGGGCAGTTTGCTAAATCAGAAGAGGAGGCAATGTTTACCCCTTAATTTTTTTTTTAAAAAAAACTTGTATCCATTATATTATTACGGTAGTACAAGATCTGTTGTGTTAATACAGCTGTGGATAATTTCAAGGAGATGGGGGTCAATTTTCATTTTGGCCACCAAAAATCACCGATGCATCTTCAGGGCTGCTTTCTTTCATCTTGGTGTTCATTTGGTATTCTTTTCACCAAGTGGGTTCTAGAGCAAAACAAACCTGAACCATCTCTGGAGGCAGAAAAGTTGAAACAGGCTATTTTGAGCACATTGGGAGAGGGCAGTGTTCTCTGGAAAAGACCATAATTCTGGGAAAGGTGGAAGGCAGCAAGAAAAAGGGAAAGACCAAATACAGGATGGATTGACTCCTTTAAAGAAAGCCACAGGCTTGCGTTTAGAAGAGCTGAGCAAGGATGTTGAGGATGGGCCATGATATAGGCTCATTCATAGGGTTGCCCAAGTTGAAGGTGACTTGATGGCATGTAAGTACAACACTTTGGGCCAACATCTATTTGGAGCAGAAGGATAATCCTGGTTTCCTCCATTCTGGGAGGCTCTTGTTATGGGAATGATTACTTAATTGATTGTGCAACTATCTCATAAACAGTACAAGGGAAGGTATGCTGCTGGGGCAGAGGGAACATTTAAACAATCCCTATTTCACAATTGCATAACACAACATAGTATTGTTGTTTAACTGTTTGGTTTTTGTTTAAAATGCATCTCTGTCCTTTGATTGTATTCCTGCGCTAAGCAGGGGGTTGGACTCGATGGCCTTATAGGCCCCTTCCAACTTCACTATTCTATGATTCTATGATTTT